AATTCGTTCTGGAACCGACACATTCACGATCCACCAACGACAGTCGTTCAAGCCGTCTATCGGAACATCGAACATTTGCTTTGGTAGCGTTTCTGGCAGGCAGAGACATGCTCTTTGGAGGTGCATTGTATGAAGACGACCAAGGGGAGTTAATGTCGACGCAAACCCTAGTCTTCCAATTACGGAAGTTCCTTGCTTCCAGTTCCACTAGCCGACTTATCTTCTCCTCTGGTAACCTTTTGAGGTTTTTTCTGTATTCCAGACTAGATATAGTCTGGAATAGGAATTCGATCTCTCTCGTCGGTGTTAGAATAGATTTCTGTAAATTGACCGACCAGCCTAATTTCCGGAATAAACGAACTGTGTAGCTTAACTGGTTCCCCAGGACAATGGGATTTTGGTGAATTAGTAAGAAATCGTTGAGGTAAACGAGCACTCTTATGCCTTCCTCTTTCAACTGGCTTGCTAACCAATTGCTCACCCGTGAGAATGCCAGTGGGGGCGCTTGATAGCCCGAAGGGAAGACACGTCATTTGAAAAAGTTGGTTTTTGTAACAAAAAGCCAGGTATCGCCTGTGAGCCTCTTTTATTGGTATGTGAAAATAGGCTTGAGAGATGTTCAATTTTCCCATGTAATCGCCGTTTTGGAGAAGGGCTGGAACTTCGCTTTGATTGATTAGTCGAAACTTTTTTGGATTGAGATAGGCGTTTAACCCCCGAAGATCGAATATTTGGCGCAATTTTCCGTTCGGCTTTCGTTTTCAAAGAGGAGAAAACTGGGGAAGCGTGTAGCTTCTTTTCTACTTCCTTGTATCGTACACGATTCCAACCATCTGAATCAAATCGATAACTTGCTATTCCTTCAGTTTTTATTTCAGGAAAAGACTCAGGAATCTTTAGCTCCACCTCCCTAACATCTGGGAGGAATTTAAAAGCTTCACTCTCGGTAACGTCTCCGAACTCTATCTCAGAGTCCGAGTGGTCCTTAACATCATTTTCCTTATTTTCATAATCGAAAACGCTTCGTTCAGAATCGTTATCCTCGCCGTATTCCTCGTCGCACTTATCCATGTGTGGTTGACGTGTACGCTAGCTCTTGATTTCGGCCATCATGATACTAAACATATTATTCATTCGAACTTCAAGCTGCTCTACTTCAGAACGCTTTGCCGAGCCAGTCGACCACGAAGAACCTTTTCTCTTTCAGCTTCCATCCTCCGATTCTGACTCCAGTACTTTATCCACCTCTTCACGCGAGATTATCTGCGATTTTATGTGTTTTGTAGCTGCCTTGAAAATTTCAGTAGCTGCAGCAGATCCTCTTATTTTGTTAGTTATAGCAGGGGGGCTGATAATCAAAACTATAGTACAGGCCCAATCAAGCATCTTTAGCTTCATTCTTTTGAAGTTCTTTTCAGATAGATGAGTGACCTCGGGATCGAAAGATTTTGCTAGTTCCACTATGGGAAGGCAGAATCGTAGTTTGTTTAGAATCTGATGATCGATTGTCTTTCCAAAGATATCTACTTTCTAAGGTTCAGTACTTTCCATTGTGTCCATCCATCTGGCATGTGTTCCTGTGCCACCAGTTTTATTCTTTCCAAGATGTCGTAGTCATCATCCTCTTCGTCCTGTACTAGCAGCTCTTGCAATGTTATGAAGTTATCGTTCTCGTTCGCCATCTGAAGCAAAGAGGAATTAATTACCACCGAGTAGTGGAAAATAGTACCACATGAGCCGACGTATTGCAGTATTGCGGATTACAAGCCAACGGGCTATGGGTTACGGGCAGTTGGCCGACTAGCCATCTCGGGAGTCCCGTAGGGAGCAGCCCAGAAAGAATGGTAGACTAATAAATGGTAGAAAATATTTAATTTAACCTGGAACAATTGTGATTAGAGGCATCCTATCTTTCCTACTCGATTTTAATTACTGGATCAAAAGATTTTAATAAGAATTAAACATATAACAGGTTATTGCAAACCACAACATCTTTTATTAAATACAATTATTGCCATATCTCCCACAGACATAACGAAAAGTAGAAAAACAAAATTTTATCTACTTACAGTGTCAGCAACTTGTATTTCACGTCCAAATTATATTGGTGCGCACTTATCTACGAACATTTCGCAATGTTAATACACTGGTAATTAGGCATGCACACTTGATGGGAAATAATGGCGTACTGAAGAGTGATGATAACTCCTCGCGATCCCCGCGCACTGCCCTTCTCTCACAGACGTAGCGAGTAGGTAACTTGCGTTTTCACATGAATAGGATGATAGTTATCCCCGAAAGGTCAAGCGAAGGCACAGAGCTAAAATACCTGTTTATAATTATTGTTTGTAGTTTTTATTTTGCCTAAGTGGACGGTGAGCTAAAAAGTTTGGGAATCTATGCTCTAGGGGTTGCATTTTGTAAATAAACATTTGTACATATTAATCATTTACAATCATTGACTTACAATTATATGGACGTCGGGTCCGCGCTAAAAAGTGTCCGAACTTATAGGGCATTAAAATCGTATACAGAGCGTCATTCACGCTTTAGTCTTCGTTTGTTCGACTGACAGCGAAGCAAGCAAAATTAGACAGTACTGTGATGACATTACAATTTAAATTCAACGTTTTAGCTTTTTCATATTCCTTTACATGTCACTACGTTTAAATAGGTTGACTTGGGACATTTTTTTCGTAGTTTTTGTATTAGACCCGTCGTCCATTTATTTGCAAGTTAATGTTTACAATATTTATTTAAAATATCTAGACAACACCTAAGAGTGAAACGGGTCGCTTAATACACCTTTAATATAAAATGTTTATTTCACTACAGTTTTGAATCTCGTAAATCGCAAATTTTAACATAATATCAACCGGATCTTTTATTTTGATTATCAAGTGATGGGACCAACAAGTAGTAGGTAAGCGTGGTGGCGCCGTTCAGAGCTTTACACAGAAAAGATCTGAGGGGCACTGCCACCGCGCCCATCACCCTGAGACATAAGTTGTAAAGTCCCATGTGCCCGTAATTTCACCAGCACCTATACCCTTCAAAACCGGAACGCGATAATGCTCACATTATGGCTTGTTGGCAGAAATTGGTAAGGTGGCAGTACGTCTCTGGATGAACTCTTTCACAAGGAGATTTACTGTTACTGGTATATTGTACAACAAGTGCATAAAATGTTTCATTTTACCCGAGCAAAAATGGGTTTTATGAACGAGTTTGCTTTTCACTTCGATTGCGAGGAAATTAAACAGCAATATTGCAAATAAGTGATTATTTAATTAAAATTGAAAGTAAAATTACAACAATTTGACGTATTTAATGTGATGGTTTTTTTATGTTATGCACTTGAGCATTTTATGCAGCCTACACCGAGCATAAAAACTTTAAGAGCATGAGAAGTGAAAATATTTTTATAGAAGCGTGTACATTGCCTGAAATGAATTTGATTTTGTGAAGATGACTGTCCGAACAATCAGTATATTTTTATTATATTTATTATTATTTTTCGTAAAAAGAATTACTATTCTTCTTAACATAAATTACAGTCAACTTCCAATTGCAGTCGTTTGCTTGATTATCAAGATATATTGTATCCAGTTCGATGTCATATGCCTTATTGTGTTCTTTCAGGCCCGATACGCTGAGAAACTGGGAGTGGCAGCAATCCTTACTCTCCCAGAGTTGTACTATAGACCTAATAAAGTTGAAGAGCTGGTGGATTACGTGAAACAAGTCGCGGAGGCGGCTCCAAATACGCCCATTTTGTACTACCATCATCCTAAGAAATCTTTCGTTCAGTGTGAGTTATCTGGAACGTTTCTGAGAAATTATTTGCGAGATGAAATTATTACGAGGATATAAATATATAAAAAAAACACAAGTTCTTTTTGGGATATTAATTTACTAAATAAAAATAAATCTTATATAAATGTAGGCAAAGGATACGTAAAACTAAATTTATGCTACTACTTTAGTAGGTACTTACTTATTTTAGTAAACTTATATTACTAGGTAAGGTAATTTGTATTTTAGTAGGTTGGCAAAATTTATATAGTATTTAATATGCTATACATATACCCTAGCTATAACAACGGTACATCTTTTACGCTTTGTTGCGTAAAAAGAATCAACGCGTGCCGATGTCAACATCCCCGACGCATTGCAGTGTCGAGGCAGACCCAGCAATACCCTCAAAGGATTGTTGTACTGTACTCAGAGGGCATTGCAAGCTACATTAGTGTACCTAACCCACAGGTTACATGTGTAAAAAGATAAAAGATATAACCTCTCTGAAAAGTTATATAACCACTCTGAAAAGTTGTCATTTTGCAGATGTGGCGTGTTTAGACTAAGGGTTCAATTTAGAAATAGAAATAGAAATATTTTATTACTACGCCACAACAAAAATATACACAGTAATAAAATGAAGATAAAAAAAAAAGATGAAGCTACATTTAAACAAAAAATTAAAATAAAAATAACTGGAAAAAAAGGAATAAAAATAAAATTATACACAACAACAAAGCAAACATGAAATATTTAACACAATTAGATTAAGTGTCATGTGCGTGGCTGTGGCGTATGTAACAGGATCCCACTCAGCTATTGTCACCACCGAGAAAAGGCTGTGACGCTGATTTTCAGTGGGCCCTAAAAACTAAAAACATTAAATTTCAATTTCGTGTTTGTATTTCAGTACCTATGCCAGAATTCGTAACAGCTGCCACGAAACGCATTCCTAACTTCAAAGGAATCAAATTTACATCATCGAATCTGAGCGAGGCGTATTCCACGCTAAGGAATTTAAAAGCGGATCAAGATTTGATCTTGGCTTCTCCTACTGTGAGTTTTTTAAATACATATTGTAGTACTGCCCTCCTTATTATAACTAACAGAATTGACGGTATTCTACATCATCGATGTAAGTATGTAAGTCTATATGCACCTGTTATCCACAATAAACTAGGCAGAATGTAGAGTCCCTACAGAAAAGCACCAGTCTTTCATTATTATTATTTTTTTAACAGCAAAAATGTATGAGTCCAGTATTGTGAATTGAAGTCGAGTCCTAAAATATAAATTCCCGAACTCGAGTTTTTTACAACACTAGGTCGAATACACTTTGAATCATAACTGTGTAGAATCTAGACTCATGTTGTCTTTCTATACATCTTTATCTAACACATATTCTTCAATTTTGCAATATGACTTTTCAATTAAAATACTTTTAAAGTAAGTTTTAAACAAAAGTAGATGTGTTGTAAATCACAAGCAGTACTATGAAGTGAGAGACATACTATTGTTTTATTACCTAACATTAAATTTCAGTTTATAAGAAACTATTTATATTTATTTGAACTAAATCTCTTTCGTGCTCTCCGGGTCTCCTTTTCGCATGTAATTTTTTTTATATGAGACCAAGTGAGGGAACAAACAATTCGTGCGCCTGCTAGTAGGATCGGCCAAGGGTCTTTTTAGAAAGAATAAATTATAGTTAGCTATAATTTATTCTTGAAGCACCTACAATAAATAGCTAAATTAAAATTGCAGGTATTAGCAGGTGCAGCAATCCTCGGCTTCAAATCGGCGACAGCTGGATCATTCAACTTGTTCCCAACGCAGTGTCGAGACATCATGTCGGCGGTGGCAATGAAACATATTTTAATAGCTCGAAGTATACAGGAGAAAGTCACTAGAGCTGTGGATGCTATTGGTCAAGAAGGTTAGTTAATAGTTGAGGAGACTCCAGAGTTGTTGAAGAAGTGTTTTTGCCTAAGAATGGCACTCGATACAATTGCGTCATGCTGCGCTGTGTACATACTACCTATAAACTAGAACTAGGTATATAGTACGCGACGAGGGAAAGCGTGCGCATCGGACAAGGGGCTAGGCTAGGAAACGAAGCGAAAAGAGGGCTGTGGTGCGTAGTAGTAGAGATGGAAAAAACTGCTTATTTTTTAAACGTCAAAACGTTGCACCTTTTTTAAAAAGCATGCGCTTATGAAAACGCTTTTCACTTAAACGTTTTTTAGTTTGAAGCTAACAAAATCGTTTAGAAAAACGTCGAAGCGCCTAGATTTTTATGTTTTATTTGTGGGGTGCGTTGAAATCATAGCGTTGCGACGATGTACGTAACGCATCGGCAGCACTCATGTGGCATCGTTCTAAGTACAGTCAAGAGCATATCAAGCTTGACACTGTACTTTGGACCGTTCTTATCGTAAGCGGCATAGAGTTGGATTTAAGTCTTAAGTGTCAAGCTTGACGTGCTCTTGACCCTACCTTATAATGCTTCCTAAACTCCTAGAATGACTCCATGGCCGAACGGTCACAATGCCGGACTGACACGCAGACGTCCCAGGTTCCATTCCCGGGTCGGGAGAAATATTTGTATGACCTACATTTATTTCTCTCGTGAGTTTGGGTGTAATTTTTGGTGGTCTACGTGTGTGTCCATGGCAGCCGCGACACAGGGTTTCCCCAGTGCGGGGCTATGTTGAGTGTGTGCATTATTATTATTACTATTATTAATGGTACAATAAGGCAATGCCAACATGTCGCTCCGAGCGTAGTATTTCCGCAATATTATTTTAGTTCACCCCTAATGGGATGCACGAAAGGAGCTTTCCCGCATGACCCACCATTCCTTTGCTGTATACACCTGGCGCACTATGGGTAGCAATCGGCAAGTGCCTAACGTGTATTGGCATATCTTTCCACCACGATGGCAAGCATTATAAATATATTCCATTGATATGATACGAAGAAGATTATGTTAGTTGTACCTCCAGATTTCAAAACGTAATTTGAAAAAATTAAGATATCTATTAATCACAAATTCTCGTGATATGTTGAAATAACCTTCGTCAAATGCATGCAGTACTCACACATTAATATTTTTATACTAGCACCGCGGATTAGTATCTCGATTATGAGAGTATGATCATAAAACATAAAGGAAATGCGTTTTTGTATATACGTAACATAATAATCTTTATGATCTTGGTCATAAAATGAATATTTATTTTGCTTCCACGTGTCCGATCGACTTGGAATTTGTTATGCTGTGGAAATCCGATGACATTACAATAATATGGTAACTTTAGCGATATAAATGGCGATATACTTTATGTCGCTCTCGCATATGTCGCGCTCTGTCGTGCAAAGGCTCTGATGTCGATGTGCTAGCCCTACAGTTAGGCAACATCCAGACCCCACAAAAGAACCTGTGTTAGTGGATAGTACTGTTGCCGGCAAACATTTAATTTTGTGTTTAATCTATATTTTTGTCATATTAGTGAGCAAAGTGTTTATTTATCTATCTGTATTCGTATTTGAAGAGTTAGATTAAATAATGCAAAGATTAGAAATTAGCATTTTTGCTTTTATTTTAGGGCGCATACCAAAATTAAAAGCAGTTATGAAGATTGTATCGGGCCTGGACATGGGCCCTCCGCGATTACCGATGAAGCCTGCAAGCAAAGAGGATGTACATGAGCTTGAGAAATTGTTTCAAGAACTGGGTTTTCTGAATTAGGATTGAGTCTTTAGATGACGTGATGATTATGGTTGTATAAATTAGATTTTAGTGCCGGTTTGCTTGAATGAATTGAAATGAATGTATCGCACTGTTAATTCAATAGTGTATTAACTCGAAAAGTGTATATTCTCAGAATCGACGAAAAAAGAATTACTCGCTTCCCGTTAAAGATCTGTGTAAATTTATGTATAAGTTATTTTCTACTTGCCAACTATACATATTTAAAAATAAAAGAGAAAAATAGTTTCATAATTTTGAATAAGGACTATTTTGGCCAGGACTAGCTCACATAAAGCGTCTCATTTTGAGTTAGGTAAGTATCTTTTAGTTGTTGTTTTACAATATTCTAACGAGGTTTTTATTGACGTGTAGAGAATCAAATTTTACGCTCAACAACGGTATAATCTTGAATTCCACATATTTTGAGTTATAACACTATTGTAATAGCAGTGCGATATGAATGATTATAACTTTTTTATTTAAGAAAACCGATTTCAAAAGTTATACATGTATTTGCAAAGTTTTATTGAAATTGATTAACGGAAAGTGGGTGAAATCAAGAAAACTTTATTCATCCCTTAATTTGCCACTCTCAGAGGCGGAATATTTTCTTCAAATCCGAATGGGACTACTACAGACGTATCCCCTTTCAAATAAAAAAGGAATCATCGAAATCGGTTCACAAATATTTCCGTTTTTTGAAGTCGGAAAAACGAACTTGAATACGGTTGATTTTTTAATACTCGGAAAGTAATTTCTTTTGTTATTTGCATCGACACAATATGTGTTGTTTCAACTCATCATCTGGATACAAAGAATTTGAAGTTTATTGTAGTGTTTTAGAACGATGTGTATATTTCAAATAAATATTTATTTTTACGAACTTCTTTTATTTTCTATGTGGACAATTGCTTGTATCTGAATCGTTTATTGTGCAAAATAGTATATTTTAAATAGAAAACCACCGTGAGCCTCAGACATTATTTGGTGCGTTCACCGAAGGATAAGGAGCCATTGAATGTTCCCGGTGTATATAAGATTCCCTGCTCCTGTGGCAAGAGTTACATAGGAGAGACCGTCCGCAACATATCCACACGACTAACGGAACACATACGTAGTATTAAGAACCGGGACAATCGGGGCTCTGCAGTGACGGAACACTCATTGGATTCGGATTCGACGCACTGTATTCGTTTTGATAAAGTGTCCATACTGGCGAGAGAAAACATTTCATTCCGCGGAAAGTACGTGAAACTATCGAGATTGGTCGTCATTCGAATTTCAATCGTGATAGTGGATGATCGGTACCCCCCCGGCTGGAAAACAGTGTTAGGTACTACGCCATTGGTTAGTGTAGAAGAGACTTTATAAAGTGACGTTGTTATTGTAGTGTGCAATCCTGCATGACTTTAATAAAAATGAAGCAAACGAGTGTAGATTCTCGCCGACGCCGCCTGCGTCCGCTACCGTACTGACTGATCGGGCTGCCAGTGCTAGAGGTAGGCGTTTAAACGAAAAGCACTTAAAAAGTTTGCTTTTTAAAATAAGCGCTTAAGCACGCTTTTCATTTTAAGCGTAAGCGTTGGTCTATGTGCTTAAACGTTTTTCTAAACGACTTTTTAAGCGTCAAACTTTCTTTCAAAATTTTTTTCAGCCTGGTTGGCCTGGTCTTTGGCTAGTTTTGACCATACTTATGGATCGAAATCAAGTAAATGTAATATAATCTTATCATGCAATACAAACCTCATTGAGATTTATAAAATTCTGATGTGTCAGTACAATCTGCCAGACATACAAAACATCGTTAACCGTCGCGTGGTCACCGTAAACATTGTCGAAATATTTTGTCACATCGTGTTTTATTTTTTGCTTTGTAACAGTACTGTTCAAATGATTATTTCATTAGGTAATTCATAGCTTTTTATGTGTGTACTATAAAATAACCAATACTTCTGGAACGTAAATATTCAATTATGCTTAAATTGAAACGTACATACAAGAATGTTACCTAATCTATGGTCGAGCGAATCAATTGCGTTGTGTTCTTGCATCTATTCTAAAATGCAATGTTTTACAACTTTTTTATTCCCGACTTCTAAAAATATACAAAAATATATTGATAACTAGGCATAAACTAAAACGCAAAATTATACTACCAAAGTCCAAGAACGGGTCTTCGTCGTCATTGGTGCAGCGCCATCCTTCTGTGCGCGAGCATGCGCTAGAATTCCGTGGAAAAAATTTGGTTTGTATACATATAGTTAGTACGTTATACAATTGACCATAAAGTTCATTATGCTATGTTACAAAAATTCGTTCCCACTCCGACCCGCGGCAATTTAAATTGAGCCTAACGTAATCAACACTTTGAGCGAAACATTTTGAGTTATTAACATATCTGGAATCGAAATGAGATCTATATTTTATATCTTATTTACTATTACTTTCACTTTTCAACCGACTTCAAAAAAAGGATGAGGTTCTCAATTCGTCTGAATGTTTTTTTTTGTAAGTATGTTACGCGATAACTCCGCTATTTGTGAACCGATATTGATGATTCTTTTTTTGTTAAAAAAAGGGTACCTCAGAAGTGGCCCCATTTAAATTTGAAGAAAATATTCCACCTCTAAGGGTGGTAAACTAGGGGATGAATGCCTTTTGAGGTCGGTTTTTTTAACCGGAGGTTAGGTTATATTGTTAAGCAAATACCTCGAAAGTAACCAAAATGCAAATGTGTTAGTTATGTTATGACAAGGAGAGCAGGAGTGTTACTGTAGCACGTATTATTATATATATGCTACATTTCAATGTGTGGCAGCGTTATTTTTGTCTTCGTTATCTTTTAGTTTTGATGTAAATATCATAATTAAGTTCTATCGTAACTGACGGTCTACTCTTTTGCTTATCATGCTCACATAATAAAGCTATTCTGTTTTACTCTTAGATAATTTTTAATTCCTATATAAATAAAATATTTACCTTTGTTTAGTGAATAATGATAAAGAAAACCTTAATTACCATGGCCATAAGAATTATATTTCTTGGGTTCGCAATGTTCGTCGCTACTGCAGATGGAGACAGCGGCAGCGTAAGTAATTTGTTATCTTAATTTTTATTGTGTAATGTTTAGAAGTTAGTCTTGTTTTTACATAAGATGTATATTGTAAAAAGTTTTTTAAAAATATGTGTACCCTTTTTAGTTATAAATTTAATTTGCGCTTTCGTTTTTGGTACGGGTTTGTTAATTAAATGGCATGTAAGTGAGATTACGTGTAATACCATCACGCCATGATGGCCGTTTTGACGTTTGTCCGTTCATCAAGTTTCGTATTAATTCATAACTACGTTGAAGGAGCTAATTAATGTACGTTGTTGTCAATAGTGACGTGCAGTAAAATTTATGGATCGTATAACAACAAATGCCGAATTGTGTCGTAAAATTTTACGGAACAATTCGGCATTTGTTGTTCCAAATTCGAAATTAAAAAAAATGAAATCTAATACGATCGTCACTAATGGGATCGCTGGCCAGTACAACTTCTACCTCCGGCAAACTCGACTAGACGATATATTAAGTAAACATTTTTATTTTATTAAAACTTTTTAATCTGCTGCATTATTTTTTCGATAGTTAATTGAGATTGGGGACTAGCCTTGGCTAGATGGAGTGACGTTTTGTGAAAGACTGCTAGCAGCAAAAGCGATGCGACATACTGAGGACCGGGCTAAAGGGCACACATTAGGAGAGGCCTATGTTTTTTTTACGACACCATCCGTTTTATCAAGTTATCAAATTGACACAAAAACCACTTGAAAAATCTATAAAAATGTTAAACACTAAGTAAGGACCCGGACCGGATGGTATTCCAGCCTATTTTACTGTTAGTTGCACGAAAATCCAACTGCGTCCACAATCAATAATCTTTTAATTTGTCCTTGGATCATGGCGTCTTCCCTACTCGTTGGAAAATCGCTCATGTGATACCTATACCTAAACCAGGTAACCTCAAGAACATTCAAAACTATTGTCTAATTTCATTGATGTCTTCATTTGGTAAATTATTTGAGTCAATTGTTGACCCATCTTAAAATATTACCTTAAATCCGTCTTGATCCCCGAGCAACATGGTTTTCGTTTAAATATCTCCACTACCACCAATTTGGCTTGTTATGTCTCACATCTCTGTCAAGGGGTAGGTGACGGTCGACAAGTCGATGCCTTATACACGGACGTTAGTAAAGCTTTTGATCGAGTGGACCATCCACTACTTCTTGGGAAACTGGATTGCTGTTGTGTACATGGGAAAATTTTGAAGTAGTTTGCTTCTTAACTGCAGAACAGATTCCTAAAATGGTTGTTGGTGGTTGCGAACCAGACCTTTTCTCACTTCCTCGGGGGTTCCCCAGGGTTCCCACTTAGGTCCTTTTCTTTTCCTTGTCTTTATTAATTGACCTCGGTAGCGTAATCAAACATTCCAAATTTATATTTTTTGCAGATGACTTAAAAATATACAGAACCATTGATGTTTATACGACACGATTATGCTACAAGAAGATCTCGATAGAAGATCAGTCTGGACTAGAGATAACAAATTACCCTTAAATATCAAAAAGTGCAGGCTTATTAAATTTTCCAAGAAAAAAGTTCAATTTCCTACGTCATACTCCATTGATGAAGCCATTCTTGATGAGATCAATCATATAGGAGACTTAGGAGTCATATTTGACAGCATCATTAATGGTTCTCTCCGGATGTTGGGCTTCGTGTGGAGGTTGTAAGTCCTTTAAAAGTATCACTACGTTAAAAATGATTTACTACGTCCTAGTTCGTACTAATTTAGAATATGCATCTCCCATTTGGATCTCTCTCTCTCTCTGTCTCTCTCTCTCTCTCTCTTTCTGTACGAAAATCAAATAGATCGCATAGAAAGCGTACAAAAACTATTTCTCTTTTTCCTCACGGTCCTCCAATGAAAGCTGCACTTATTGAAGGGATACGAAGACAGACTAAATGATTTTCAAATGTGCACCCTTCAACGTCACCGCTGGATTGCCAATCAAGTTTTTCTATACCTATATATTTTATTTCGGGGCAAATTGATTGCCCTAAAGTTTTATAGCAACTTCGGTTTTCTACTTCTCGTCGCAACGCCAGGCTAAGTAATTGCCGTCCTTTTAATATCAAACAATGCAGAACTAATGTTGGCTCCAATGCTATTTTCAACCGAATTTGCCGTGAGAATAAATTACACACAGTAAACGCTTCGGATACTGTGTTATATGTGCGCGCTGTATTTGCCTATTATTGGGCTTACACTCGAGTAATTTCTGCACTTTCATTTTATGTCCATGTTTAATAGTGTATTTATGTTGGCGAATCTAATAAATAAATAAATAAATATGCTACATTTGTTTGTCTTAAAAACGGAATTTTGTATCATTCGACGTAAAAATGTGTCATTAAATTCAATGTGGACTCAGGTTTAGACCTAGTGACTCCCAAATGTACCTTTACTACCGGCAATACAATCTTGAACCTCTAAGATAAGATCAGAGTGCTTAAAAAATCTTAATAACCACTGAAGATAATGTTTAAGGGTCAAGACACATCGAAGGGTAATTGCAATTAATGTAGGATGCCATTGGCAACGACCTCTCTTAGTAACGGAGCTCAAGCGGGACCCAATTCAATTCAACGGGACACAATTCTATTACCTTTGTGAAATTGAGCTGGTTACCTCAAGCGCCAACTGAGGTATTTTAGTTGCCTTCCTCTGAACGTCGATGATGGCAAAACTTTGTATTTATTTTAAATGTCTTATCAAGGGTGTTAATTTGGAGTTACTTTAAAAATAGGTAAAAGCCGGTGTGTGAAAATGAACTTTGTGCTTTAAAATACTATTGAGAAAGTAACGCGACGATTTATCACACTTCTTCAGCAGTCTGAGCTGAAAACCCGCGGCTTAGTGCTGCCAGCATTCACTGCGTTAAACGACGATGGGACTATTAACTATGAAAATATACCTGCCTACGCTAAATATTACGCTGATCATGGAATCACGTCTGTTTTAGGTAAGTGCGTCCTCAGAATAGGTTACGGGTAATGCGACTGAAATGCGAAAATCTTGGGAAGACTTGTGTTGTGTGAGCATTCTGACTTATAAATAAGCCTAATACTGGGCTCATATGGTAACTTAATAATAATTTTAAAAACAATAATGTAATTATAATTATCAATACAAAGATCGAACGCTTAGGAAAAATCCTTCGATCCAATCGGATTCCAACCGACGTCTTTTAGCAAGCCGTGCCAGACTCTCTCCTAACTGACCTATGGAACAAACCAGCAGATTTTACGAATTTTTCTATGTGCTTGTTGTGCGTATTATTAACATTATGCTTCAATTATTAAAGCGGCATTTCTAAAAAACAAATTTGTCGCTGGTAGCTATAAAGGTACCTGGCTGAGTGAAAAAATACTATCTTCCTATACTTATTTTTTCTGATCTTTTCTTTTTTAAAACAAAGATCTGCCTTTGAAATAGTAGAACGTCGTGATATTTAATAAACTTAATATTCTTTTATGCCAGATCACAGATACCAATCTCTTAAATCTCAAACACGGGATTTCCTGTACTATGTGTATAGTCACCACAAGTTACTATTCTTCTGAACACTGTTTCAAAACAAACTGCTTTAAAACTATCAAACGATTAGTCACCTGCACTCAGATATCATTTGGTCATTTGCACAATATATTCAAGGTTCGCAGTATTACAAAATATTTCTATATTAAATACATAATAGTGTTGTCTATATACGTTTAATGTATTATTAGTATGTATTATTTTATTATTAATATGTATTGATATTCATGTACTATTTATCTTATTTTAATGTTCTTTTTCTTCTCATATTGTTTTTCTTTTATCAGAGACAGTATTATTTAATTTCGTTTAATATTATATATAATTTATTCACCCTTATTTTTATTCTTAATATTGTACGTCCATTATCTGTAATTATTTTAGTGGATGACTGTAATTGGCCTATTCAAAAAGTGTTAAACGTATGTTAAGGTTAGAATTGTATTAAATATGGCTGTTGTTATTTCAAATTAATAAAATATAAT